TGATGAAGGGTCTAGGCCCGAAACGTCAGCCTCTCTGCTCCTATGATGCTGCTTGGCCTGCTGTGTTCATCCAGCCCCGCACCTTGTTGTCTCGGATTCTCCAGCATCTGCAGTTCCTACTATCTCTTACTACAATATACCTGGTGCTGATGAAACCATACCTGGAGTGAGCAGTTTTGGTCCCCCTTATTTAATGAGAAATATCACTCTGTTGGAGGTAGTTCAGAGAAAGTTCACTAGGATGATACCTGGTATGGAGGGATTTTCTTATGAGCAAAGCCTAAACAGGTTAGGACTGCTCATGGGAGTTTAGAAGAATAAGATGTAATCTCATTGGAACGTAACTTGTTCATAAGGGGCTCGACAGGGTCGTTGCTGAGAGGGTGTTTTGCCTTATGGGAGAGTTTAGGATCAGAGGGCTTAAGTCTCAGAATAAAGGGGTTCCAATTTAAGACTAAGATGTGGAGGAATTATGTCTCCAAGAGGGTTGAAAGTCTTTGGAACTCCCTGCTACAGAGAACAGTGGGGACAAAGGCTAAGATAGATAGATAAATTCTTCAGATGGGGAATCAAGGGTTATGGAGAAAGGGCAGGAAAATGGATATGAGGAATGTGGGCTTAGCCATGATCCCATTGAATGGTGAAGCAGGCTTGAGGGGCTGAATGGCCTACTCCTGTTCCTATTTCTTATTTTGTATGGAATAAGAAGGGATCTCATTGAGACCAGAAGATTCTAGTAGTCGAGAATGCCAGGATCCACATCATTTCCATGGTTGTAGGTGTGTTTTTGGGTGGGGCACGGTCTCATGGTATGATTTCAAGCATTTTGGATTTAGATGAGGGAAAATTTTATGAACCTTTGGAATTCTCTACCGGAGAGGGTAGAGTATATCCTCTCCACTGTTACATTTTTTCAAGGCTGGGATTGACAGATTTTGGGTTTTTAAGGGAATCAAGGGACATAGGGAATGGGTGGTTAAGTGGAATTGAAGCCTAAGGTCTGACATGATCATATAGAATGGCAGAGCAAGTTCGAGGGACTGAATGGTCTACTATTTTTTAATCCGAATATTTATTCATTTCTATATGTGTCGATCTGAATTTGTGTCTAGCTGCCAGTCATTATGTGAATAGTGTGACAACATTCTCTACGTGTATCCGATTATCGTTGGATTAAAACATTTCTGAATATATCTATATCTGAAAATTTCTATTTTTATTTGAATATCTGTTTTTATCTGAATAACTATCTGAATATCTGTGTTTTGATCTGAGTATGTGTGTATTTCTCTCTGGGAAGATCTGCTCTCTGGGTTCCCACGCTCCAGAATTTTAATGAATTAACTTAGGCGCCGCCCACCTGTCATTGCAAAACAAGGAGAAGTACATGCACCACGTGGGCCCTCAGCCAATCAGAGCGCTAGGGGGATGGGCAGTGGGGTGTGATTCGCCGTCTCCGTGGAATCCCGAGGCGCCCAGCGTTCCATTGTCATGGTAATCTCCCGCGCGCCCGTCAAAAGCGGCAACGGCGGCAGGGGGGCGGCCAGAGCCTTGTACGGGGGGGGGCCCGGAGCCAGAGAGGGAGCGGGGCCCCTGCGTAGAGAGAGCTAGCCTGGGAGAGGAAGAGGGGCCCGAACAGAGAACGAGAGGAAGAGTGAGAGCCCGGCCCTCAGAGCGACACCGCTGGGAGCGGGTCCTGGAGATAGCCGGCACCGAGTCCAGTAGAGAGCGGGGGCCTGTAGCCAACCGGGAATCAGAGTGAGGAGAGCCTGGGGTTTGAAGCAGGAGGCCGTGGGGAGCGAAGCGCGTCTCCAGCAGCCGGTCCCCTTTTCCCCCGGCGGCTTGAACGCGGCGCATTGGGGGCCGTGGAGCCGGCGGGACGCTCCCCCGGGCTGGAGCTATGAGCCATGCTGAGCTGTCTCCGGCCGCTGCCCCACAGCGGATGTTCCAGGAGGCGGTGAGACGCGGCAACACCCGGGAGCTGCAGTCGCTGCTGCAGAACATGGCGGACTGTCCGTTCAATGTGAACTCGTTCGGGCCTGAGGGCCAGACGGCGCTGCACCAGTCAGTGATCGCGGGAAACCTGGAGCTCGTCAAACTGCTCGTCAAGTTCGGCGCTGATATCCGCCTGGCCAATCGCGACGGCTGGAGCGCCCTGCACATCGCCGCGTTCGGCGGCCACCAGGACATCGTCCTCTACCTCATCACTAAGGCCAAGTACGGAGCGAGCGGGGCCCGGTGAGGCCGGAGCCGGGGAGCGGATCCCGGTGAGGCCTGGACCCGGGGCCATTCCCCACAGGCAAGCCCCGGGGTCGCCCCGCCGCATCTACCTCACTGGGATGGCAGCACAACACGGACTGAGGCCGGGGCTGGAGCCGGGCTCGGGGAGAGTGGGACAGGCCCCGGCTGCAGGGCCTCGCTCCCTCTCGCCCGCCCCTCGGAGGCTGGTGTCGGGTGACAGAACAGTTCCCCGGCCTTGGATGGACACTCGCGGACTCTCGGTGTTTCATGTCGATGTCATTAACGTAACAATAAATCTGTGAAAGACAGAGACCGTGTCCAGTCCGGTCCGGGATTCCCCTCCTCTCAAACCCGGCCCCCGGGCGAGGGGTGGTGGGTCTGAGGGGGTAGCAGCAGCTCAGGGCAAAGGGTGGGTGAGCCGGGGAGGGGAATAAACAGACCTCCCCAGGGTAAGGGGGAGCCTGATGGGGCAAAAAGAATAGCTCCAGAAGTCTGCCAGGGATGGGGTACACACCCCAGGCGTGGGTAGGTTTTGGGGGGTTCTGATACAAAGGTACCCACGCACCAAACAGTTTGCGATTAATGCTCGTTATCGTCTCTGTATCCCAGTATGAAAGCCTCCCGTATAAGCCTGTGTCACATTGTGCTGCTTATAACATCCTACTCCTCGGCTGCTGCGTGTAACACCCTCAGCCAGTATTTTTCTGTTGCAGATGTCTGCTTTCTTGCTTCAGCTGCCTTTCTACCCCCTTCCTCTTACAGGTTGCTTGAAGTGCCACTTCTGCCTTTTTAATGTCCTGTCTGCGTGCACGTTCTGCTTGCGCTAACACTGTTGCAGGTATCCACTCTGCCCGCACGAACAACCTGTTTGTTCTTCCTTCCTTCTGGTGCTGATTGTAACGCCCCACTTCCATGTCTAAACACCACCATCTCTTGAGGAAGGGAGTAGGCTGGTTGTTGTAATGTCCATGTGGCGCATGCTAACCCAACTCCCCCGTCCGCATTGCTTATCTCATCACCTCTGCTGCCCTTGTCTTGACTACATTACTTTCCCCACTGGATTTTTGATCTTTTCTGAGCGTACATTGTTTGTCGTGCCTGCTCTGCCATTTTGGTTGAGATCCATCCCCGACTGCCTGCCCTTGCTTCCTACCTCTATGCACATGCTATCCTCTGTAGCACTACCTGTACTTTCCCTTCTGTCACTGTAACCCTGCACGTGCTGTCTACCAATGGTGGTATCTGTAACAATGATGCTCATGTGTGCTGTCTATACTTTCTACCTTTTTACTGTCCTCTTCTGCAGCCTATACTGGCAAAAGTCTCCTGCTTTTGTGCATGTACAAACTATCCTCCACTTGCAATGTTAATAACCTGAATTCTACTGAGGACTTATAATTTTTTCTCTTGGGCTGTGGTTTCATTGACCAGACTGGATTTTGTTGCCCATCCCTAATTCCTCTTAAACTTGTGGTGTGCAATGCTGATTCAGGAGTGAGTTAAGCACTTTGCTGAGAGTCTGGAGTCACATGGTAGGCCAAATCCTGTAAGCACCTCAGATTTCCTTCTCAAAGATATTAGTGAATAGGTAGCTTTTTTAATGACAATCAATATAATACTCTCATGGTCACTGTTTACAAGAGTGCCTTTTAAATTTCATATTTTTAAATGTAATTTGAATATTACATTTAAATACCACCAGTTGCCATGGATGGATTTGAACCTGACCTAGTGTTGGCATGGGTCTCTATTGCTAGTCCCATAATGTTAGCTTTTTGCCACTTAAACTCTACATGTTCAACAGGACCATTCTATCCTCGTCATTGCTGGACCTTTCCTTTTTTCTTTTAAACCAGAGCTGCCATTTTGTCTGCAATCTGAGATCCTGATTGCATGTCGTAATAATATGGTGTATAAGATTGTCATTCCACTGTCCTCATTACATTTCAATGCAATCTTCATTCTCCCAATTACACTCAACAATGCCTTACTTTGCAGCAACTGGTCATTTTTAACAAACCATGATGCTTACTACTTGATTACCCTGATCTTTTGGGAGATATTTCAGTTTGAAAGCTTCAACTGAAGAGTTTATAGATCAATCGGAACGGCATGTGACTCGCCTTAAAGTTGAAAACAGTTCCCTTGGTCTTGGTCTAATTCCGTTTTCTCTTTCAGTTGAGACCTGATTTTAAAAGTAAAAGCTTTCTTTTTAAAAGAAATGGCAATCTCCTGGATAGATGCAGCCTGCAGCCCTGAATTCATGATGTTCTTTTTTAATAGCATATTTGAAATATTTACCCCTCATCTGCACTCACGAGTAAGCCTGATATGCTGCTTAAATTCATAAGAGTTGTTAGTAATTGACTGATTAAAATGGTAGGTTCAACCCTGGGTTTTTGTCTTGTCAGCTGACTAAAATTTGACAGTCATTAATCTTCTTTTATTCAGGCTGTTGTGTTAGTGGTAACTGTCTCTACATCTGAGCCAGGAGACCTGGGTTCAAGTTCCATCTTCAGGGTTGTGTCATACATCTTTGTGAAAAGTTGGTTTAAGAAAATATCACTTCTACTCATCCGTCCATCCTGTGGTGGCAGAGCTGGTCCAAGTTACGTCCCCTGGGTGGGGTGGGAGGCTGGCGCAGCAGGAGAGCAGGGGGTGGCTGTGTTCAGTTGTCTCCCTGGGTGTCTGGCATTCTCTAGTAGATTGCCTGACTCCTGCCCTAACTACCATTGTCAGCTGATCCTGATCAGAATGCCCTGCCTAGGCTTCTACCCTCCTTTCTCGACTTTGGGCTGGGCGACAGCTGCTATGCTAATGAGGGGCCGGCAATGCCACATCTAACTCCTCTGAGGCTAAAGGTTCGGCACGATGAACAGGCTTTCAGCCAGAAAAAAAACTTAACAAAGCAGGGTCCTTGTTTTCACATTCAAATCTGAGACAACAGGGGCAACTGACAGGCAATGTCAGTTCACAGCAGTCTGCTGACTGACTGAGCTTCAACTGCATTGGATAAAATACACAGCACCAGCATCAGGACTGTACATAAATACATGTAACTCTGGCTAATTTAAGTTATCAAACTACTGGGCATTTCACTATAGGTTTTCAATGTTGCTGTGGAAATGTTCCTGCAATTTCTGTCCCCTTTTTGTCTTTAAACCATGTTCTTTCCAAACTGAAACTTAACTTTGATTCAACCCATGGACTGACTTGGGGAGTCTAAGTATATTTTTTTTTCCACACCACTTCTGGTTGTTCAGCTGTAAAGTAACAGGTCTGAGATGATAAAACTTTCTTCAGCTGTGGAATAGTTTAAAGTGATTGCCTCAGGATAGGAAGCTGTGACTGGCACTCTGCTGATATTGTGCCGATAGCACCACCCAGTGTGAAAGAACAAGCGAGGCACCTTTCCTGGATATTCAGTCACAATGGGGATGAGCCTGTGATTTGGCAGAGCTGGCAAGTGAGGCAGGCATCCATGCACAGAAGTTAGTTTTGAAGAATTGCTTCTCCTGGGACCTATCTTGACAAAGTTTGTGCAGGAAGTTGGAGAAACCAAGCTAGTCAAGTTTTTGCAGAGCATGAAAGAAGCAGGAGTTTTCAATAGCCTGAGAAACAAATGTAAAACTCCATGTGTTAAGGCCTATATCCTGCTTTTAAATAAGTGCATCACTAGTGGCATTGTAAGATACAAGCAGGGTCCACAGTGATGGCATCAGTAGTGTTTAGTTCTGGAGAGTTAGTGGGTTTTTTTTTGTTTTGAGGAAGTTCTAGAATCATAACAATTACACAATAGAGGCCTTCCTTTCTGTTGAATATGAGCTGGTTCACTGCAAGAGCAATTTGTCTGCTTCTGTTGCCTCAGCTCATTCACTGTGTCACTTTTAACCTCATTTACCTACCTCCTTCAACCTGCCCCACACTTTATTCTGACTATATTTAACTAAAATCATGTCATTATATAATCATATAATTTCATTATAATCACTCTTTTTGAAAGCATCCCTTTGCTTATAAGGTTATGAATTAACCCTGTGTCATCTCAATTGTTAATCTAAAATGGTCAGTTCTAGAGTTGATTCCTCGATGCATGGTTTGGTAGATACTATATTGGAAGTGATTATGACACAAACGTGCACACAAATGGAGTGCAGGAAATCTGCTTGTGACATTGTCACTAGAGATTTTTCAGGAGTATGTTATTTGTGACTATGGTAGTATAGTTGTGTTGGTTGAACCAGCAGAGATTTCTTTGATAGTGCTGAAACTATGTTTGTTTGTGAGTGATAATTTGACTAAAGGCCGTTCTGTCAGTAGTACTTATGCCAGTGAACTTTGTGCTGATAGTGTCTTCAGCCTCGGACACCGCTTGTTCTGTGTTGGTATCAAGTCTTGTTGTTAGTAAGGTTTCAGTAGTATGTTGGTGCTTGTGTTGAGATCTGTGTTAGATTAATACCCTGGTAATACCTATATTGTAGGGCAGAATAGAAGTCAAAGTAATGGGGTTTTAAGAAAGATCCTGCAGTTGTCGCAGTGTATTTTAATCTTAAATAAAACCAAGAAATGTGGATGCTGGAGATCTGAAACAACCAAAAGCTGAAATTGCTGCAGAAACTCAGCAGGTTTGGCAGCATCTGTGAAAAGAAAACAATAAATGTTTTGAGCCTGTGACACTTCACTACTCTGAGCTCACTGAACTCAATGTTATCTCTGCCTCTTCTCTGCATGCTACCAGACCTACTGAGTTTAGCCAGCAATTTTGTTTTTGTTGTGAAGATTAGTGATAGCTGAGCAGATTGGGGAAAATTTGAGTGAGAAACATGAGAAATAGCAAGGAATATGAAAACACAGTAAAAATCTCAGTATATAGAAAGGAAAGAAAAATCTAAAGTAGGTATTGGTCCCCTGAAAAGATACTGGGAAGAAAAATAAATCATTCAATGAAGGATTAAAAATGAGGTGTTGACCTGGTGAAGCTACAACACAGGACCACTGCTTGCCGTATCATGGAAGCAGCTTGCTCTAGACACCAATTAAAAATCGTGATTGTTCAAATTAGAGTCTAGCACATCATTGCGATAGATGAGACTGAAGCATTTGCAACCAGCAGTGCAGAACAGGTGATCCATTTTAACCTCCTCCTGAAGTTCCCAGCATTACAGATGGTAGACTTTAGTCAATTTGATTTATTCCACATGAGGATTATGATCTATAATAATTACTTGGATGAAAGGACAGACTAAATTATAGCCAAATTAGCATATAATACAAAGTTAGGTCAGAAAGCAAGCTGTGAGGAAGATGC